ACAGATTTATTAAAACATGCACAGCATAAAAAAGTGCTTCTCCAAATGTGCACAAGATGAAAGGGAGAAAAAGATCTAATACACAGGTAAGACTTGTTACACAGGAAAACTTCGATTTTAATCATCTGAGTAATGCCATTTGACTCAGTGGCACTTCTGGCAGGGAACAGTTAAGCTGGAGCCTAAATTTCTGGCAGGATGGGGAAGCCACTGCAGAATATGTATGCTATTCCCTTTCACACACTCTATAGCTATGCCAGCTGGATGCTGGAACATGGCCAATCTTTAAGTGATATTCCTCAACTACATAAAAAAAAAAAAAAAATCCCAATTTCAGAGTCAAACAAAGAACTAAATCCAAACCAATATTTTAAGGAAATTAGACGTTTAATTGGAGTCAAGTGGCTTCTTTAGAAAATATCTGTATGTTAGCTCCATGCTCCCCCTTTCTGCTGGATTTCTGGGGGGTTGGGTGTTGGTTAAATGTTTTTTTTTGGTTGATTGTTTGCTTGGTGGGTTTTTCTCCTAGACTAGTACTGGCAGATGGGGGAAGAGTGACTGTCCAGTGCTCAATTGCTCTTTGAGACTGAAATCAAACATACATGGCATTCTCAATCCATACTGATTAAACACACAGGCTAAACCAGGTAATTACAGATACATGTGTTGGGGCCTTTTTTTCTTAATTCATAAAATTGTTCCCATCTTTAAAAACACTTAAAAAAAGGTGAAATTACAAACACACAGAAACAGATGTTTCTGGTAGTAAAATGCTGGGAATTCAGACTCCTTGTCTGACACCACCTGGTTTTGATTCAGTATTCATTGTTTCAGGTTCATTTTGCTCAAATTCTATCCAGTGCTGGAGAGGTAAAAACACCTTTGGAAATTGGTAGCTGTGCTATTCTTGAACACCTTTTCATTAAAAGACCTTATATCTCCACAATGAAAAATAACTAGAAGTAATTTAGAACCCTGTACATGAGCACATGCATGCACAGAAATATTCATGCATACACTGACCTGACAACTTTGTGTTAGCATTTCAAAGACATAAAATGCCTTATCCTACTGGCCAGAAAGAGAACAAAGTGTGATATACCTGCATCTCCTTCTTTTGCTAGACTAGTATTTCTCAACATTCACATCGTACTTGTGAAGTTTCACTTTGCCAGCTTGATGCTTGCACTGTGATCGGCAAACATGGTGTAATTCTCCTCCAGCCGTGCTTGCACAGAATTTCCACCTACTGCCACTCCTGATGACCTCCTAGCTTTTCATTTCCAACTAAATTGCCAGCCCAGAGTCTGGCCCTTTATCCCTTCATCTGAAAACACATACACATGTGCAAAACTTCTCCATGCAGACTGCTCTGTAAAGACACTTTTCCCCACATGGAATAATAATGCTGAAATCAGCCAGCACCTGCCCAGGTGCAGGAATCTCTCCCTTGTGCAGATCTGACTGCAACATTAAAGTGCATGCTTTAATTGTGCTGGAATTATTTTGAGGATGGCAAACTGATCTAATTCAAATATCTGTCTAGTTAACACAGGCCAGCTTCTAGGGTATCTTCATTTTTCTTCTCGTCTTCTCTTTTGGGGAAGGCCTATCTGCACAGACTGAACTGTCTCCAGATGTGACCAGAGCTACCATATGATAGTTCAGTGTCTTGCCACAAGATCTGTATTGAGGTCAGAACACAGTAATTCGATTTTAGCAGCACTGGTTTAACATTCTTATTAAAATAGTCATCAATTAACTATCAGCCTATACAGAACATGAAAAGTGATACATAAGTGCAAGATTTTAATGAAGTGACAAAGCTCTAAGCTGGCTCCTTACATGATTACTTAATGTGTCCTACATTGCCTGGTACGTGACTTTGTCCACTGGACATAATATTTCTAATTTAACAGGTCATTACAGCTTTAGTGTCATTTGGGAATAAAAGCACATAAAATACAAGAATTTCAAAATAAAATTTACAGCTCACATTTGTACAACAACTTATTGCATTTAACAATTATTACAGTACAAATTAGCATAAAGAAGCACACATGCCATGGGAAGCTTGCAGGTGATAGTAGCTGGATTTGACATGGAGAACTTCCTGTCCTACATAGCCCTCACCGTTGAGACCATTCATTGCTTCTTCCTATGTGCAAGTAGTGAAAAACAGCAGCAAAGATTAGGCTCAGGCACCACCACCCTTGGCAACAGATGCTTTCTGTTCACATTGCTGGCTGATAGCTCCAGAGCCCAAATTCTGCTGAAGACTAGTTAGGTTCAACATGCCAGCTAGTAGCCCAGGCTGTGTTTCACATACCCCTGCTTACATATTTCCAGTTGAACAAATATCATGGACAGAGCTCCAGCTCATTATGGGATTAAGCATGCATCTTTCAAGATATCTTCCCTCCTGGAAAGCTCTAGCAAGTATCAGCAAAACGGAGCAACCTGGCTGAACTGTGCAGGTAGCACCTCAGAGATAATAGGAGCCCACAATGTCGTGTTGGTGACAAGGTGGCAATCATCATACAAGGGCATATAAGCAAGACTATAGACTGTTTTACACCCGATTTAAGACTCCATTTCCTAGCACTGGCAAGATAAAGCCTGGAACCTGTCCAGGTTGAGATGAGCCTTGGGTGATACGGTTTAGTGTGAGGTGTCCCTGCCCATGGCAGGGGGTTTGGAACTAGATGATCTTAAGGTCCTTTCCAACCCTAACCATTCTATGATTCTATGATGCACTTCAAATACAGCAAATCAAGTAAGAAAAAAATACTTGGAAAGAACCCAGAGAAAGGCAGCTGGAATAATCTGAAATCGGATAAACACAAGCTATGAGATGAGACTGAATGAATTCAGATTGTTAAACTCAGGAGAGATGGTAGTCTGAGAGGGGATGCTAGCACCCAAATGTCTTGGAGGCTACTGAAGTGAAAAACGCAGTGACCATGTCTACACAGATGCATAGAAGAAGTAAGGGGATCAAACATCTGCAAGAAAAACTGGACAGAGACGTTATGAGGACTCTTAAAGGACAAGCACAAATTGCCTAGAGGCACTGGAGAATCTCCATCACTAAAGCACAGGAAAAGCAGTTATCTTACAGCAGTGACACAGCTAGAGTTGATCAGCCACTGAGAAGGGGAGTAGTACATCTTTCCAAGCCTCTCCTGGTATATCTTCCCTTGTCTTTACGTAGTGACCTACTATGCTGCACTTCCAGCTCAAGCTTTATATAGTTCCAGACGTAGTTAAAACTATGAACTATGAGGAGGACTGGATTACAATTTAACTCTGCATTGATTTTCCTGTGAAACAGTGAGGTTATACAAAAGGCCAGATTCTCAGACTACATAATTCAATTTAACTTTACTACCTTAAAAATGGATTAATTCAATGAAATTGGACTAAATTACACCAGATGGGAATCTCACTCTGAATTTATGCCACTGATCATATTTCATCCTCCTCTTTCAACTGACAAGGAACATCATTCTTAAGTCATAGCCTTATCTTAGGTCAGACTCTTAATTCTCATGCAGTTAAGCTTCCATCTTCAAACAACAGAACTCAAGAAACTTGTGCCCAACCTGTTGCTTTCATCTTTGAAATATTCAACCGTAATTGAGTACTGCTTTCCTCTGACACCTCCAGCTGAGACTCAGTGAAGAGCTTGCTTAAAAAAGAAACCCACAAAACAAACCAACAAATGGACTGTGACATGTCAAAAAGGTGATGAGCTCTGAAATGCTGCAAATACAGCACCAAACCCTCAGCTGTCATATTTGACAAATTACCCAGTTTACCATGAAAAGAAGCATGGCTGGGTGTGAAGAACCCAGATTTTTCCCAGTTCTGCGATGCCCATGGTATTCAAAACTCTATCACCGGTAACCACAAGAAAAGGAACATGTAGAAATCACTAAAACCACAGTGGCTTAAATGAGGGCTGTATGAGCCACTGAACACCAGTGTGAAAAAACAGCAAAATTGTTTACAAAAATTCTAACCCAGACCTGTCAGGAAGGGAAATACATTGGTACTTTGGAAATTCCCACACCGCATCACAGTGCAGCTCTCCATACAAAGATATTCAAACTTTTAAGTGCTTCTAGTAAAGTTACACCTATCACTGAATACTCCAAGCTTGCCCAAGCCTCTGTTTATTGTGTGAAGTACATCTATGTTCACACAAGTCAGCGTGAGAGAAGCTAAATCCTGAAAACAGAAGAGCAGAGAAGCATAAAGAAGAGATGTGTAAGCTGGCTAGCCAGGCTTAACTTAGAAGTATGGGGCAGTGCCAGTGTTCACATCACATCTGGACTGATCCTGAACAGAACACATGGCGCCTCTGTAACACCCACCACTGCAGGGGATGATGTGCTACTTTCTAAGAGATGCCCAGCCAAAAAAAAATTAAACATTAGCTGACATACGTATTAAATTTAATAACAGCCTGAAAAAAAAGGTTTGCCTGAATCACAGCATCTGATGCTTTGTCAGGTTTGCTGGCACAGTCCTGGTCTCAAAGGACTGGTCAGCAGAGATTGAACCCAGCTGTCTTCAAAATGTCAACTAAGTGTGATATTCACATACAACATAAACTGCCGCAATATAAACAAGCCCTAACATTACACATCTCTTAAAAGCAGTGTTGGACCAGTTACATACTTGTTTCATCTGAGCAGATGTCAGCATCTGCTTTAAGTAGAGAGAACTGAAACATTTGTGCTCCTTCTCTGTCCCCAGCCCCCACCCTACTCAAAAGTGAGAAAGAACACAGAGTGTCAAAGTTTTCAGTGGCATTTTATACCATAGCAGAAAGACAGATGCTTTGATAATTTTTCCCCCTGCTACACTCTGGGTAGCCAGTGTCTTTGCTAAGCTGTTCACCCTTACTACTAAAAATGGCTTGCGTAACCGTACATTGCAGCCAAAGCAAGCACAGCAGTTGTTGAAGGTTGCTCACACATGTTTCTGTACTCAGCCAAGCCAATTGCTGATGAACGGGTCATCTTTTGTCGTACAACTGTAAAGAACTGGTGAAGAAATACTTTGTGGTTCAGGAACACCATGCTGACAGGTAGGCCTTCTCCTGTCTTCTGCTTTCAAACAGCAGTGTGCTTCGTTAGCTGGTCTTCAACTGTTCTCTCATCAGAGTAACAGAAAATAATGAACATGTCCTGGTCAGTTGCAAGGGCCAAGAAACTATAGAAATCTTTAGGAACTACATGTACAGACAATGAAGCAGTGGCACTGTGAATTAAATCCTTCAGGCCAGGTCAAAAAGGGCCTTGAGCAACCTGCCCATGGCAGGACGGTTGGAACTGGATGATCTTAAGGTCTTTTCCAATCCTAACTATTTTATTATTCTATGTATTGAACAATGCTATGATTCTCCGTATTGAACAATTCAAACATAACTAAAGAGCAACAGTTCAACAGGGGATCAAGTCAGGGTCAGAAATTAAAACTATGCTATGGAATGTGGTAATTCTGAAAATATTGCAGACTGTTTCTTAGAAGTTAAGATGCTTCCAAATATCACACCTCCCCTACCAGTTCTCTCACTGTCCTCAGCAACCGTTATTTTGCTCTGGTCAGTTCAACACACTCAATTTCACTGTTTTCTTGAAGATAATTTTGCACTCAGGGATGCTACTTTTTGGGTTAAAAACAAAGCAAAAGAAAATACACAAAACCCCCAAACAAAATTAGAAAAAAAAACACACAAAACACACAAAAACCACCACCACCACAACAACAATAACAACAAATCAAAAACCCAATCCACTTCTCTCTGTGAGACCACTGAAAGCTCTTGGATGAGGAGACTACATATTATCTTAAAATTACAATAATTACAAAAATCTTGAGTCTTAGAAGTAGTTATCACTTTGAGCTCTGGAGAAGACTGCAGCAAAAATCAGTGCACAAAGTTCTCACACCAGAACAGCTTCAAGAAGCCTCAGCTAGGTCCAGGTTGCATTTTATTGACTAATAAATGACAAGCTGTAAGGAAGAAACCTTGCCAATAGACAGGAAATGGCCATAAATATACAGAATCATAGAATCATAGAATAGTTAGGGCTGGAAAGGACCTTAAGATCATCAAGTTCCAACCCCCCTGCCATGGGCAGGGACACCTCACACTAAACCATATCACCCAAGGCCTCGTCCAACCTGGTCTTGAACACTGCCAGGGATGGAGCATTCACAACTTCCCTGGGAAACCTATTCCAGTGCCTCACCACCCTCACAGGAATTTCCTCCTTATATCCAAGCTAAACTTCCCCTGTTTAAGTTTTAACCCGTTACCCCTTGTCCTATCACTACAGTCCCTAATGAAGAGTCCCTCCCCAGCATCCCTATAGGCCCCCTTCAGATACTGGAAGGCTGCTATGAGGTCTCCATGCAGCCTTCTCTTCTCCAGGCTGAACAGCCCCAACTTTCTCAGCCTGTCTTCATACAGGAGGTGCTCCAGCCCCCTGATCATCCTCGTGGCCCTCCTCTGGGCTTGCTCGAACAGCTCCATGTCCTTATTATGTTGAGGACACCAGAACTGCACACAGTACTCCAGGTGGGGTCTCATGAGTAAAATGTTTCATATATGATACATTAGAAATGTGATGCTAAATTCCCATCTCCATTCATAGTTCCAACAGCCAAAAAAAAAAAAAAAAAAGAAAAAATTACAACCATGGGAGAAACATTCTCTGTCAGCAACTGCATGGAGATTATATAGCAGCCTATACAGAGCTCTCTTGCAGGCTTTAGTACAAGATAATATCTCTTGCAATGTAGTGCAAGATATCCTTAGCGCCAAGGATAAGAAACAAAGAGTGATGCTCAGCCTTCCTCTAGACCTGTAAAACAGCATAAGCTGCTCTTCAGCATTCTCTTATTCAGCACTTGAAATAATCTAGTCCTGGAAATACTATGTGAGTGCCTTTAGTATACAGGCATCTGCATTCCTGGAAGCATTTTGCTGAAAGTTGCAGAGAGAAGTGTATGGAGACTTACAAGCTACACAAATGAGGAAGGATGTTCACAAAGAGATCGGGATATAATGAACACCAAAGCAAATGTGAAGTTTTATTCCTCAACCCTGATAAACACAAGATAACATAACACTTTTCAAACACTGGAAAATTCATCTCCTGTCCTCAAAGATGAAGGAAAAGTCTGGTCCATTCTTATAGGAGTTAACAAAAAAAGCCTGAGTTATCAGGTTAACCAAAGCACTGCCCCAAGTGTTTGGACTTCGACATCATCAGAAGCTGAAGAGGAACCAATTATAAAAACTTAATAGATACCTCTAACTCTCAAACAAGTATCACTGTAATCTCCCTTCACAGTTAATCAAGCATCCTTAAACACAAACTGAACAAACTTCAGTTCTCTCTGCAGATTTACTCCTGCATTTTTCTCCTCAAAACAGCCACACTGATACGCCACTCATGACCACAGGTGTGAAAGCTGCAGGACCAGGACACTAGACTTCATTTCTAGGTCCAGGAGGCTTGTAACCTCCCTGAGGATGTACAGCCCTGAGAATATCAAAAACCCCATGAGACATATTTCATTAGAATGCAATTAAAAGAATTATTTTTCTTTTTTTTAAGTCCTGTTTCCAATAAGCGAACAACCTCATAAGCAATTCTGCTGGAAAAGAAGTAAAGATGTCTGTTGTTATACAGCTTCTTCCAGAGCTATATGACTGCTCGGGAGTTAATTACAGCACACAAACTCTCCACATATTCCTTTGGATGCACATTTGCTTGAGGAAGAATCGGCTGTATGCATTCGCATGTAAGTACTTCCTCTATCCCTGCCTACACTGTATAAGCTCACTAAACGGATTTAATTTGCTGTTTCCTCCAAAGGCATTTACCTTTGGAATTCTGGTTTAACAATAGGAGTCTTGTAGATACACACACAAAAAATGACAGCTCTTTAATGATGCTAAGTCAGAAAAATGTCCTTTTTATGAACACAGTGCAGGGAAAATATCCTTGAGTATCTCAGATATAAATTCAATTTATTGGCATTTTGTGTCTCATTTAATCTACAATGGAACAGTTAGTACTTAAACGGTACATACACTTCCCCTAGTCGCTTTCTTCCTGAGAAACTTTCAGATGCTGGAAATCAATTCCTTTTGTCTCCTCCTTTTTCATCTGCTACACATTAAGGAGAAACTCTGGGCATTCAGTGATCCCACAATGGTCTTTCATCTCCAGAGAAGCCTGGTATGAATTAAAATCTTGCGCTCCCTCAAATTATGGATGCATACTGCAGCATGCCGCTGACTTATCTGCTTATGATTTCTTCCAGTTTTCTCAGCATGCTGCAGCTAGCTCATCTGCATCTTTCAACTTCAATGACTCTTCTGCAACGCTGCCCATCCAGCCCATGAGGAGTGCTTTGACACAAAAATACACAAATGTATGACCCACCCAACAGGTACTGCTATTTACTCTTTTTTCCAAATCCCTGCCATTTAAAATTTATATTAAAAAGGCGCTTTACTACATCCAAGATCTTAGTACAACAATAAATATTTCTTTCACTTCAGTGGCCCTGAGAGATGAAGGTTATACACAAATCACTTTTAACTAATGTTATTTTCTTTCTCATGTCTGGTTTTAAGGGCAGTTTTAATGTAGGAGATTAAATTTGGATGTAAAATTTAATTGCTATGTAGACTTCTGTAGCACTGGTCAAATCCATGCTGCTCTTTCACTCCCAGCTTCCAGCCAGCCGTGCTGCTGGACGTCAAATACTGCAGCAATTCAAGGCTCCTGCTCTCAGGTCTGAAAGTAAATCAAGGCTTAACATACTTATTCTTGGTTTACTCTTTGATGCTCTTTCAGCATATTTTTCCTGCTTCCAGAAACTGTTTGTCCATGCCTCAAATCTCAACTATTCCCTGCAGTCAAAGCAACACATTCAGAACAAAGAAACACTTGCAAATCTACATTCACATTCTGTCCTACAGGAACCATCATTTGCTAATCACTTCTACATCCAATACTTTGCCAGACAAACTTTTATCCACCTTGCTCTACAATCTCTTACATGAATCATTTATTTGTTTAAATAAGATTTCAGTATGAAATATTTTCCATGGAGCAATCTTGTTATCTATTCAGTATAGATTTGAAGCAGTTTGAAGAGCTTTAAAATAAAGCCACTGAAAAGCTAAATTAGAACAGAAATGAGCGCATTATATGTAACCCTCAACAGCGGTTAAAAGGTGAGAACACAGCTCAAGTTCACTAGCTATTTTGGGCTCTGATTACAACACAGCCAAGAAAATTTGGAGCTCAGCATGCGCCCAAGGTATATGTCCAAAACAATTGTGCAAACAGTTAGTAGTGGGCACTGAACTCCCAAGGTGCACAAATAGCTGGTGCCAGATTAAAGCTACCTTGGACAGGTGATGCCTGCCCAGCTAAGACCTTACCTCGCTTGAATCCTCCTGCTGATTGATGACAGCTAGTGCATCCTCTGCAGCCTGGCGCTTGGCTTCGGCAACCGTGCGCTCCATCTTGGCTCTCTCGGAAGTGATCATGTCGTGAGCCTTCCGCTCTGCCTCTGACACTGCCTTCTGCAACTCGGCCATCGCCTGACGCTTTACTTCATTGACAGCTTCCTCTGCAAAGGAGGGAAGAAATCCTCATCAGCACAGGAGGTTTGGCACAGGGCTGCATTGGACTGATGCACGAAATGCATTACATTGAGTTTTCATTTCCAGTAGAAAGACACAGAGGAACGTGGTTCCTCCAGACTCTTCAAGACCACCCAGGTGCTTCCTCCAGATCACCAAAGTCTGTAATGCTTTGTGATGATTCTTGCTATTTTGAGTCACAGTCAGTACTTTTAAGTAGAGACACTTCAGATCTCTGGTGTGTTATTTTTGTAATATTCTTGAATATTTTACTTGGAAAAGTGGTTTTGTAGCACACCAGATTTACGAATACGTTTGGCAAGAATTATTATATAAGACACAATATTGCAGACTTTTTCAAAAATGTATTTTTAAGCTCTGGAAATTAAGACAGAATTTATAGTCATTAACAATTTTTTTCCCCATATGTTAACGAATAAATACATGAAGTTAAAAAAAACACCAAAGTTATTTAAAAAACCAAAATCACTGGCCTAAGACCTTTTCCTGGACATATAATTTTATGAGCCAAATTTAAAATTTGTTTATGAACATTCATTTGACCTCTTGATCTCTCCTTCAAACCCATGTTTACACTGTGAAGACTCGACTTCCTGGCTCCACTGAGCTCTTGAGCACACCCAAGCCAGCAAGGCTTCAGTGCACAATTAACACTGAGCAGGGGCAGGCCACTTCATTAAATTTAAACCTTCATGCTTCTTGTAAAATAACTAAGGCAGCAGAAGCTGTTTCTTTGGTGTATATACTAGTGCCATATCTTTACTCTGGAAAATATGGATTGTCACAAATTAGTTATTTAGTTTTTGATGCAGGAAGAGTGCAAAGATTTTACTAATGAACACTCTTAATTGACAAGTAAAACAAGTAATTTCTTTTTTTTTTTCTAATTAACTGCTCTAATTAACAAGGAAACCATCCTCCCCCTGAATTAGTTTATCTAATTTTCATCTTTATTCAAAGCAAAATGACAATGATTAATTGAAAATTTAATAAGCAGCAATTATTAACTTGGCAAACCTAGTACCAATTAACACTCTATTAAAACTAATTATGACATGTTTCATTCAAGTGTTTGCACTTAATTGTTTCATCCACTTAAAAACCACCTTAATTAAATGTTCTAATTAAAAACATAGATTTCTAATAAAAATGTTTTACTGTAGATTAAAACTAAGTATTACAACCGTGTTACAGGTTTGAGTTTTAGTCCATGTATTTAGCCCATGTATTTGTGTGCATGCACATGGGTACAGATACTAAGTCAGTAACTCTCCTGAGTTACATCTCTAGCTCTGCAACTGTTATTTTTAAATAATAAGGACTATATGAATTCTCCATTTTCAGTTATTAACCAAATGCCCGTACTTAACTTTAAGCCATACACTGACTAAAACTGAATTAATTGCAATGAAAAAAGCATTCTATTACTCTATGTGTTATGTGTGTAAATGGCTGTGAGAGATGTTTCAACTGAAGTTTGTTGGGGGGTTTTGTGGGTTTGGTTGTTTTTTGTTGGTTTTTTTTTTTGGGGGGGGGCGCACTTACAGATAAAACCTATGCTTTTATTTTTATGAGGCTGAAAATATGCCTTACTGTAAATGTTGTTTAGGAGAAAGCCTCAGGAGAGGGAAAAATCATACCCTTCAACCACACAGCTAAGGCTTAATTTACTTTGAATATTCAAGGTGAATTAAAATTCTATCTAAGTGGCAATACAGGACAATAATTTTTGCTTACGATCAAAGCTGCAGCTAGACTAATTGTATATGCAAATCAGGCAATTTATATTTAAATTATGCATTCCTATTCTAGTCCCACAGGCACACACAGATCAGAAAAGGGAATTGGTAGGACATTTGCAAGGTGCTTGAATATTTATTACCAACTGCAAACATTCACTGATCGTGAGAAAAGAAATATACACAAGCAGACATACAGATGCAATTTTATTACCAATTTTCATAAAAATGAGCTAACTTAAATACAGACATTTTGTGTCTATGAACTGCAGTTACTAACACAGTGGGTTTCTTTGAGAAAACCTATATTCTTGGTGATATTTACTACAAATAGAAATTATCTTTGTATGGCATGATGTACTTTCATTATTATCATAAATTTAGCTTTACATTGAGGTGTTTGCAGTGGTTAGAAATGCTAGTTTAAACTATTATATTAAACAGAAGCACAACACCCCAACATTTTACAGAGATTCATAATTTCATAGCTTTTCATTCTACATATTTTACTTTTCAGTCCAAATGTAGAATTGAACTTTATATTCTAACTTCTATATTGCATAAGATTTTTTGCAAAGCTGCTGAGAGTGTGAAGATGCTAAAAGTGCTTACAAGGCCATAGGCCTGATACTTTTTAATTGGCATAAACTATGGATTGGACTTTAGTATTTCAATTAACTTTGACAACAATTTGTGTTGTGCTATATTAAGTGGGAAAAAAAAGTCACAAAAAAAATATGTCAGGAGTTTTGGTATCAATACCCCACCATTATTCCAATATAGTATGAACTCATGAACACCCAATGAACTAGATAAAGTCACTGATTTTCTGCACATCTTTTCAAAATAAATGTTTCCATTACCTACAGATATTTTATAGACACAGAATGAAGGCTTCATAGTTTTAAATAACAATAAAACCTCTAATATCCATATAGGAAAAGTTATGGGTGACAGTGAAGGAGATTTTATTTGCCTTAACAATGCTGAGCTATGAAGACCAAGAATGGTATCAGCACTCTTTTCTCCTCTGCATTCCCTAAGTTTCCTCGTGACACCGAAAGAAGCTAAGGCAGCAGCCCACAGGGGGCTCGGACCCCCTCAATATTTACTAAAGAGAAATAGGTATTTCCAGAGAGCAAGTCCTTCAACCTATGATGTGACTGATTCTCTTAACACACTTCTCTCTTGTCCACTGAGGGCACCAGTAATTTGGCTTGTACTCTTAATCTACATATCCATAATTCAATGAGGTTAATAGGGAACTGATGACTCTTTTCTACTGATGTATGAAACTGAATTGGACTCACATGGCTTTAATTCACAAGGTGCTGTGTACTATGTGCTTGCTCCAACAATACAAAAGCACGTCCTTAACTTGCTATATTTCAGGAATTGCACTGGAGTTTATCAGTCTCCAGAAGTTTAAAATGAATACCTTTTGCATGCTTTTGATGGTGTTTATTGACCATTTTTATGCAAAATTATTTCAGTTCAATGGATTCAGCACCCCAATCAGACTTTCATGCTTGATTCAGGCATCTACACATTGTCTTTATGGACTTTTGAGACACCAAGATCCACACTGAGCCAGCAGAAATGACTTGTGAGAGATTTGCAGACTTCTTGACTGGCAGTTGCAGCCCAGCCCAGGAAACTACAAAGCATGTCAAATGGCACTAGAAACCTATTCTTTCAGAGCTGGATTGCACCTTTACTGCCTTGAACTGATTATGAAATTGTGGAGACCAACTTCAGTGCACACCCCTGAAAATAAAGGTCCATGATTTAGGAAATGCAGTGTGCTTTCTGATGTTTTACTACTCTTAGTAACAGATACAGGTATACATCCTGTATAGAGTCTGACTTTTTTTAGTCTCCAATTCAGAGGCATGCTCAGTTAATACAAGGATCTGATTTAAACCTACAACAGCATGAAAACAGAGACTGGAAAATGGATGAAAGGAAAAACTTTTCTTCAAATGAGCTGATGACGTATGTTCACAAGCTGACATGTCATGGGTCCTGTACACTACTATTTGTAGATATATGCAATGTGAATGCACATCCAATTTTATAACTCCAGCCAAAAGCTTCAAGTAATTTGTGTTGCTAGCTTATTAAGAAACCTTTTTTTTTCTCTATTTGTACAGCATCTAGGAGTCATAGATGACCCAAAATGCCAAATGACATCAAACACTACTTGCAAGAGAAGTAAAGTTCCTGAAATACAACTGAAAAATGCTCCTTTTACTGAGATTTCCTGGGTCCTTTATGCTTTATCTTTGCTGTATGAGTATGGAAAAACAAACTATGAAAATCCCTTTGGGCATTAAGAAGGCTACGCTTCCCTTGGACAGAAGAAAAATACGTTGATTGTTTTGTTATTTTTCATAGAAAATGCAACAGAGTTCCAAAAATATTAAAATGTTGACAATTACAGACTTTACATGATAAGTCCACGTCATACGAAACCACAGCTTCTTGTCTGATGTAACGACATGCCAGCAGAACAATTTTACACATATGTTCTGTATCTAGTTTAAAATAAAACAAAAAGCTGTGAGCAGTTACAGGAGGTTTTATGAGAAAGCATTAAAACTGCTGCATATTTGCCTTTTAATCATTAACTCCTGCTTAGATAGCTGTTGTAGACTTCATGATTATACAGGTGTTCAGAAGGTGTGTCTGTGTATGAGCATATATATAGAAACTCATCTACCTCACTGGAGTTCAAGAACTAACTCCTGGCCCCTCTGAAAACAGGGAAGCTCTTATACCAGTGTCAAAAGAGCAAAGGCTTAACTCCAGTACCGCAGTGGGATCCTCGCCAGGAAATTCTTGTGCTCAGGCAGAGTTTTAGTGTGTAAAAAAACTCTGCACAACCAAAACATCTGCCCAGGGTGCTTTCCAAGCTTGGGGAAGCCACTGTCAATGCCCATGAAACCACTGAAAGCAGCTGCAGAGATGCGATCTTGCATACCTGCATTGAAAACTTTGCAGGTTTATGAGCACAGACTTCACTGGGGGCTGACAGGTACAGAATCTTTTTTAAATGAAGAACAGTTACATTGCACAGCTGAAGGTTTTCCTTTAATGTTTTTTTTCCCCTCCTGTGGGAATTCTTACCTCAAACTAGGTGAGAACCTTGATGCTTAAAAAAAGTAATCCCACACAAACTTTTTCTTTTAAATTACTAACAGACTGAAACTTCAGCAGATCAAGTTTCAGCCTGAAACCGTTATAACCCCTGAAAATAGGGTCCTTCATGGAAGTACCAACAGCCCCCCCCCACTACAGCAGCAGATGCTTCTATTATAAAGATTATTTCATATCCTGATCAGTTCCAGTTTAAGATTATTAAACGCAATTTCTTCTTGTTACTAGTATGCCCTCCCCCCCCCTTCCATTCCTCACATCAGTGCATTAACAGCTGCACACAGCTGCCAGAAGACTAAGCTGGTGTTTTTAAACAGCTCTTACCAGCTTTCTTCCAGATCTCCTCTGGCACATATCCAGACGCAGGCCTGTGAAGGAATTCCCGATGCGATTCTGCAGGCGGAGGAGGCGTGGAGGGAAAAAGAAAGAACATAGTAAGCAATGCTTGCTCATTGAGAACAAGGCTTAGAGAAATACCTTTTCCCTTCCCTTATTGCTCAGACAAAAAAAAAAAAATTCCCACTAATTTATTTTTACTCAAAACAAATGGATGCTGTGGCCATAGCTCATGAATGTCACATAGACAGATCAGTGTTGAGGACTCAAGTGTCTCATCTTAAGCCAAGCTGAGACTAGTTTGCTTTATTTTTATTTTACAGCATTTCAAGTCAACTCTATATAATAGTTTCCACACTTTCAAGGCTGGCTTTGCAAGACCAACTGAGGGAGTGATGTGCTTCATCCTTTGTCATTGTATTTATAAAAAGGAAGAAGAAAGAGGGCAACAGCCTGGGTTTGGTGCTTCTGCTCTGTGCAAACAGAATGGCTACTGACAGGCAGAGATAAAAGCCAAGATGTCATTCCAGTGATCAAATAAGCTGTCCACATAAAAAGAAAAGGGTGTTTCTCTATGTTCAGAGTGACGCTTTCCTCCATCTGAGCCCATGTTGGCAACTGCAGCTGCATGAGTTTGAAAAACAGAACCTTTAACTTTAGGTTAAGCCCCTAAACACATATGCTGCCAAACAACCTCTCTGGAGCTGAAGCTTGTAATTCACCTGTATATTTCAATCACATTTTGACAGCTCTTTTCCCCTCCCCTTTTTTAAAAGGGTTTAACCTCTGGGCCTGAGCCTAAGAGCTCTGAAATCAGTAAGATCCCTTCCACACAGACTTCAAAGACACAAGATCAGACAATACAGAAAGAAAATTCACTTTGGCCTGAAATTTAGCATGCAGGTTCTCAGCAGATGAAAAGCCTCTCCTTTCAAATACAATTTAAAACCTGATTAGCTATTTCTTCAAAGTCATTGAGAAATAAAAAAAAAAAACCACGAAAAACAAACAAACAAACAAAAGATACATAAAGGTAAGTTCATTGCCATGATTACCACTGCCTGTGTGACAGAATTCAATCATTAAAATACTTGATTATTACATTAGACATAAGGTTTAAATCTTCTTGGAGATGTTGCTAGAAATGAAACATCCTGTTTGATGTCTGAGTTTGAAACATAACAGAAGTACACATTATTCTTTGAATAATAATTTTCACTAAATATATTCTGTTTTGTATCCTAAAGTTATCATTCACTAACTTGGTCAAAAAGCAGTACTTTTAAGGAAAAGTTTTAATCATTAGGTTTTGAAAATTGTTGTTTACACCAGCATACATATGCATGAAATACTATTTATGTACAATAAGCTACTGTATTGTTTCTTCATGGCCAGGTTTTGGTAGCAGTGGGGCTACAGGGGTAGCTTCTCTGAGAAGCTGCCAGAATCTTCCCCTGTGCCTGACAGAGCCAATGCAGCCAGCTCCAAGACGGACCCGTTGCTGGCCAAGGCTGAGCCCATCAGTGATGGTGGTAGCACCTCTGGGATAAATACAGTTAAGAAGGGGAAAAAGTTACAGCAGAGGAGCAACAACAGCTGGAGACAGGAGTGAGAATATGTGGGAGAAACAGCTCTGCAGACACCAAGGTCAGTGAAGAAATAGGGGAGGAGGTGCTTTAGGCACTGAAGCAGAGATTCCCCTGCAGCCTGTGGAGGACCTCACATCAGAGCAGGGGGATGCCCAAAGGAGGTTGTGATCCCATAGGAAGCCCACGCTGGAGCAGGTCTGCTGGCAGAACTTGAGATGCTACAGGGGACCTACACTGGAGCAGTCTGTTCCTGAAGGACTACATCCCATGGAAGGGACCCATGCTGGTGCAGTCTGTTCCTCAAGGACTGCACCAATGGAAGAGTCCCATGCTGGAGCAGTTCATGAACTGCTGCCTCTGTGAAGAACCCATGTTGGAGAAGTTCGTGGACTGTCTCCAGAGGGAGGGACCCCATGCTGAAGAAGGGGAAGAGTGTGAGGAGTCCTCCCCTGAGGAGGAAGTAGTGACAGAGACACCCTGTGATAAACTGACCACAACCCTCATTTCCTGTCCCCGTGTAACACTGGGGGGAGGAGGCAGAGAAATTCAGGACTGAAACTGAGCTCAGGAAGAAGGGAGTGGTGGGCTTTGGTGGGCATCTGGCATCTAGCCAGAGTCAACCCACCACAGCTACAGACACTGAAACACATTTAAGAGATGACACTTAGTATTGGAGACAGCTACCAAAGGTGGAAATGACAAGGGCTGTTTCAGCTATGTGAGGAGTAGGGAATCCCAATCCCTGTGCTGTTTCTAGCATGTGAATCTGCAGACATCAACTGGGTGGACTGAATCTTCCCATCTGACAGGCAGCTGAGTGGATTTCCCCAGCAATTCTGTTTGTCACTAAAGTATGGGATGAAAACTGTAGGCAGAATTTCACACCTCTCAAGCATAAAATGACAAGGGTGTGTATGTATGATTCTGTAAAACAGATAACTATTTACATTGGTTTAATCAAATTCATAGAGGACTTCAGACCCGATGCTGAAAATGGAAAAATTCTCCATACCACCTGGCTCATATGGTTCTGGAGACAGCAAATGTCCTTGTGTACCCTTCTCTCATCCCTTGGAGGCTTTTAGACTTGTGGGCACAGTGCCGGTTCAGTCAGGGATAGAGGCAGCACCAGCAAACATTACTCAAAAGCTCAAGGAAAACTAAAGGCAAAAAATTAAAACTCATAAAATTTGCTTTCCCCACATCACCTGCAGGAAAAGACGCAACCAGACCCCAAATGCAGCAAAACAAGAGGTTTGTTGCATTCATGTCTTGTACCTTGTGCTGACTTTTCCTGTCTGCTATTTAAGATACTATCCACTGCAAGGGGATCATAACCTTGATTTAAGCCCTTTACTGTGGCACGTTGTGTTAAAAATAAAAGAGATGTGGAGCTAATTTTTTGGTACACATGGCTTTCCAAAAATGGAATTCAATGACATAAATGATCAGATTGCTGGTTAATTGTTAAAATTTCCAAAACATAAACATCAATCAAGCTCTTATTCCAACCACAAATTATTTACATGAGGAATGAGATCCTCTGCAAGAAGAATTAAATCAAGAGCTTGTGAGAGTCTTTCCCATAGTTTGGAATGGTGCACACACCAAAAAAAAAAAAAAAAAAAAAAAAGACAAGAAGCGCTTGTGAAGATAATAAAAAACATATTTTCCAAGCAAGAAAAATATTATTAACATGGCTATTTTTTAGTCAGTGGTGATGAGTCCATGAAAACAATCTTCTTTTGGGGGCTAAACTACAGAACATGACCAGAAGATAAAGTCTTACATGACTATTATTTTTTAAGGTAAAGTGGCCTTCAGATTAAGAATCACAGAACTTACTCACTAAAACCAAGCCACAAAAAATCTTAACTTGGATGTCTGGCAAACTCAAACTAAATGTAACATTAATTGAGTGAAGCCCTTAAAATACAAAATGTTAAACCAACTGCAAGAAGCCACAATGAGGAAAATACATTATATTAACTGACTGACTGTAGCACCTAAAAGTCAAAGTAAATTCGGCCTGGAAGGAAACAGGATGAAATTAGACAAAAATAGGAATAACCTGAAGTGACACGGCAACTTATAAAGAAAAGCCTATCAGAGAAGGCTTTACATGTCAGACATAATACAAAGGTTTGTTAATGGTGAGAATGCAAGAATGTTATTATACAGAACAATAGGATGTGCACTACTGAACTGACTCGAAATTCACGGAAAGGCATGACTTGAAAGCACTTGTTAATAATCAATCTGGTTCCTACTGAACCAGATGAAAAAGCTCAACAAGGAAAATAAAAGGCCCATATACATGACAGTAACCAGTACTTGTCTGTGAAGAACTTAAATGAAGTAAAAATAAAACAGATTTTGAAATCAAAACTGTTTTGGAATTTTCTATTTTAATGTGAAACAAACTTTTCAGCAAGAAAGTTGTTGGACTGGAGCACAAGAATACACAGGAGGAGAAAGCCCTCACATGCTATTGAACAGAGGGCATAACATAATGTATTATTTTAAAAATATACAGAATCATAGAATCATAGAATAGTTAGGGTTGGAAAGGACCTTAAGATCATCAAGTTCCAACCCCCCTGCCATGGGCAGGGACACCTCACACTAAACTATATCACCCAAGGCCTCGTCCAACCTGGCCTTGAACACTGCCAGGGGTGGAGCATTCACAACCTCCCTGGGCAACCCATTCCAGTGCCTCACCACCCTAACAGGAAAGAATTTCCTCCTTATATCCAATCTAAACTTCCCCTGTTTAAGTTTTAACCCATTACCCCTTGTCCTATCACTACAGTCTCTAATGAAGAGTCCCTCCCCAGCATCCCTATAGGCCCCCTTCAGATACTGGAAGGCTGCTATGAGGTCTCCATGCAGCCTTCTCTTCTCCAGGCTGAACAGCCCCAACTTTCTCAGCCTGTCTTCATACGGGAGGTGCTCCAGTCCCCTGATCATCCTCGTGGCCCTTCTCTGGACTTGTTCCAACAGCTCCATGTCATTATGTTGAGGACACCAGAACTGCACACAATACTCCAGGTGAGGTCTCACAAGAGCAGAGTAGAGGGGCAGGATCACCTCCTTCAACCTGCTGGTCACGCTCCTTTTGATGCAGCCCAGGATACGGTTGGCTTTCTGGGCTGTGAGCACACACTGAAGCCGGCTCATGTTCATTTTCTCATCAACCAACACCCCCAGATCCTTCTCCGCAGGGCTGCTCTGATTCTCTTCTTTGCCCAACCTGTAGCTGTGCCTGGGACTGCTCCGACCCAGCTGCAGGACCTTGCACTTGGCATGGTTAAACTTCATGAGGTTGGCATCAGCCCACCTCACAAGCGTGTCAAGGTCCCTCTGGATGGCATTCCTTCCCTCCAGGGTATCAACCGAACCACACAGCTTGGTATCATCGACAAACTTGCTGAGGGCGCACTCAATCCCACTGTCCATGTCAGC